TAAATCATCGCTTCACTTCTTTTTTTTTTTTTTTTAACTGAACTGAAACCTGAGAGTCACTGTGGGAAGCTGATTCCATTCACCTGAGCATAAGTCTAAACCACTCCCCTGCTTGAGCCCCACCCTTTTATCCACTTCCAGGTCTAAAGGCGAAGGGATATGGGCCCGGGTAGCAGGAACTATATTCCCATCTCAGTTTGGTCCCTGAAACATGTCACAGCTCTGGGGAAATTGGCTGGCTGTGAGGGTCCCTCAGTCCCCAGACTGTCTCTAGTCCTCAAGTCTTTCCCTTCCTCCTCTAAGCCCTACAAACAAGCTCAGGCCTGGCTCAGTGTGGCACAGGAGGTTGGGGGCTCTTCCGTCTCTCTCTCTCTCTCTCTCTCTGATCTTCTAGAATACAGACTCCTAAGTACACATAGGCCATCCACACAAAACTGGGGCTGCGAACACAACCCCGACTATGGAAGGGACTAGGACAAGGACCAGCAGCTAGTGCTTCAACTCTCAAATAGAGTCAGGTGAAGGGGAGAGGAGGAAGGAGTGAGGAAGGGAGGGAGAGAGGGAGGGAGGGAGAGAGAGAGAGAGAGAGAGAGAGAGAGAGAGAGAGAGAGAGAGAGAGAGAGAGAGAGAGAGAGACTTGTTCATTATGAGAGACACTAAGGAAAACAGTGGACACAGGGGTTGCTTCCTGGTCCTTCTCTCTCTATAAGCACCAATTTGAGGTGACACAATTCATAGAAATGTTTTGACTCTCCTAACCTGTTGAGGAGAGACCTTCATCATATCCCAACCTGGCCTCATCATTACCAGGCCTCTTGTCACAACTCAGCCGAGTCCCACATTTTTTATCAGCTCTCAGGATATGGTTCACATGCAGCACAGTTCACCCGTGTAAATGGTTTTTAGTGTTATGCCCAGAGCAGTGTGACCTATACTGTGTGATGATATATTGGTTATGATTTATTAAAGCTTGCCTGAGGATTCAGAAAGCAAAGTCAGCCACAAGTCATAGAATCCAGGAGCACACCTTTAATCCCAGCAGCCAGAAGCTAGGAGGTGGTGGTACACACCTTTAATCCTAGGACTCAGGATTAAAAGGAAGATGGATCTCTGTGAGTCCAAGGCCACCCAGATCTATACAAGATCGATGCAGTCCTAAAGAGAAACGGCTCACACAAAGCTCATCTCAGCACCTGGGATCACCCGCCTTTTATCCTAGCACCAGAGGGGAATAAAAGATAGGAGCAGGGATCAGTAGTCAGGGTCAGAATTCATTCTCCAGCAATACTTAAGACATCAAGCATTCATTCTCTAGCCACGATGAGAATAGGTCTTGTTAGAGAGTAAGAGCTCTCTGATAACTTGACTACTTTGCGTCCCTGATCTTCAGGTTGAACCTCAATATTTTTTGTGTTATAATACTGCTATCAAATTGCAAACATTTTCATCCCAAAATGAAACCATGCACCCTTTCACAGTTCCTGCTGATGCTTTCCTATAATCAGCAGTCATGGATGCTTCATAGCTATAGAATTATATAACACGTGGTCTTGTCATTAGTGCCCAGTTTCTTTGTCATAGTGTGCTTTAAAGGTATATCATATTGCATCCATATCATAATGTGTCTTTATTCCAAGGACTGAATTACATTCCATTGTATAGAGCACTCTGTTTTAGCACTCCTTCTGGGCATTTAGGTTGTTTCCACTTTGTCTATGATGAATAATGCTGCAATGAATATTGACGTAGACTGTGTGTAGATATATATTTTCACTTCTCTTGTCATGTATACATTGCTGTGAGTAGAATACTAACTAGGTCACACGGGAACTCTGTGCTATGATTTGAGGAACTGACAGAGTCAGTCCCATTTAAAGTCCCAATCCTATATCTTTTCAACTCACACTTACTCCCAAAGCGAGCTAAGCTTCTAGCTTCCCTACCTTGGAGCAGAAGGGTGACATGGCAATCCTAGCCTGATTCCATTCCCTGTTGGTGGCCTTAGAGCCCTGTCTTCCTATACCACAGGTGTCCCTCCTTTCTGCATTGTTGCAGCAGGCATTGGGGTTTTGTAGCTCCTGTGGTCCAGGCCTGGTAGCAAAAGTGTTCCCATCTCCTTCATCCCTATGGACAACCCATCTCCCTTTACAAGCATGGGCAGGGTGGTGAACCTCTCTGCTTCAGAAACTTCAGGCAGCAAGCCTTTGTAGTAAGTTCACATCATACTTCAGGGCAATATATTCAGTGTTCTCTTGTCTGTCCAGGAAGGCACAAATCCTTTCTAGGCTCCTAGAAACTTCTGTCACATGAGTCCCCTCTATTTTTTCTTTCTTTCTTTTTTTTTTTTTATTGCTGAGGGCCAGGAGACAAGTTCCATCTCTTCTCCCTTACTTCCTGCTTGACCTCTGACCCCTGCTCCTGAGACATTTTGGAGGAAGCAGTTTGACTTAAATTTGACAGTTAGGGGTTCAGCAACTTGCCATTTAGCCAGGAGCCATCGCCTTAGTTATTCTCCGGCCGCTGTGCAGGTCCAGTGAAATTGGAGTGGGAAAGCACTTCACCAGAGCCTGGCAACAACCTGACCACTTATAATACACCTCCCTTGGCATTCAAAGCCCTTGCCAGTAAAGGAGCCCAAAATAGACTCTGGCCACGAAATGAACATCTCAGCTGTCTTGGACAGAGCTTCAATCTGTGCCTCTCTCTCCCCTCACCTCAAGATCAGGCCTCCCTCAGGAGATCTGTGGAATCCCAAGCCAATGTATATACAGAAACTAACTGGCCTCCAATTCCTGGGCTGTAATAGAAGAGGTCAGTTTTCAGGCAGATTTCCAGGTGTGGACGTCTGTCTTTTCCCTGTCCCCAGCTGCTTATGACTGTCCTTCTACCCACAAGCCCCCATTCTCCAAAGGTTAGCCTTTCTCCCTTCTGTCATGTTCCAGATAAAACCCATGTCTAAATCTTGGTTATGTACTTGGGAAAGTTGGGAAGGCAATTCTAGAGTCAGTCTGGCTCCTCACAGGTCATGGCTTCCCCAGCGCTTGCCCTTCTGTTATTTCTCCAAGGCCATTTTTTTCTTGTCCTCATGCTATGAGCGTTCTGCCTTAGACTAATCAGAGTAGGCAGGGTAGAAAAGATTATTTCAGATCTGCAGGAGCTGTGGCTATGCTGACTGAGCCCCATTCTGGGTGGCTGACGTAAACATTTCACACAGTCATGCTTGTTAGGGTGGCTGACGTAAACATTTCACACAGTCATGCTTGTCTGGGTGGCTGACGTAAGTTCCATACATTGAACAGCATTTTCATGACAGTGCATAGAATAAAATGTCTTAGAGAAGGGCAAAACGGGTGTGACATATCCTCTCTTTGTCCTGCAGTAGCCTGATAATATAATCTCTCTTCAGCTCTTCTCTGTACAGAATGGAATGTGTACAGAATGGGCTAGTTTTTATATACTGATGGGAACATTATCATGCATATTATAGTGGCATGTTTTCTGACCGTATTTATCATTTTCCCAATATCAAGTATCTAAACAATGTTGGAAGGGTCTAATCCCAATCTCTCTCTCCTTCCCTCCCTCCCCCCCCCCTCCTCTCTCTCTGCCTGTGAGAGACCTTTGGGAATGAAGCAAAGAGCTTCCAGATATTTCTAATTTAAGAGCTTCCACAGTTGTTTGTTCCTTATCAAATAATTAAAAACATAGGAGATGTTTGCTAAGTTCTTGAGATGTTTGCTAAATTCTTTTTTTGTTGTTGTTTTTTGTTTTTGTTGTTGTTGTTGTTTTTACGAGACAGGGTTTCTCTGTATTGTTTTGGAGGCTGTCGGTCCAGCCCGGCCTTGAACTCACAGAGATCCGCCTGCCTCTGCCTCCCGAGTGCTGGGATTAAAGTCATGCGCCACCACCGCCCGGTGTTTGCTAAATTCTTTAAATGTTTTCTTGGTTTTGTTCAGCAATCTAACAGTACTCTCTATTATTCTTTTGTTTTAAAAGTTACTTCTATGTGTTTAAAAGAGTAATTCATGTTCATAGCAGGCAGAAAATACAATGTAACGGAGAAAAAGCAACTGCAAAGTCACCTCCACGTCGCCCCACGCTCTGTGGAGGCTTCAGGGTCCGCCCTCTCTGATACTTTTCCAGACGAAGCAGGCCAGCATGCTGAGACGTCAGCTTGGGTTGTTCTGGTTCGACTGTGAAGAGACCTGGGCTCTCGCTGCCTCAGACCCATGGAGAGGAGACTGAGGGGTGAGTGGCCACTGGAGGTGGCTCAGGAGGTGGGAAGAGTGGTTTACACACGCCTCACTCCTGTGGGTGGACTGAGGATTCCACAGACGCTAACCTCCCAGAACCACTCAATGCAAGCATCTGGGAGTGGGAGGCAGTTCTTAGAGGGAGGACTGAGCGCGGTGTCCCAAACAGGGTCCCCTCATTATGGTCTCCCGCTTTGTGTTTTGTAGTTGAGGCAACCCCCCCCTTTTTGTAATCATTCCTTCTTACTCAAGGGAGAGAGTGAAGTGAATATGTTTTTAAACATTTAAAAAGCACGTAGACGAGCATGAAAGGAGCCTGCCTTTTCAGGAGGAAAACCAGAGGTCAGAGGTTAGGGGCGGAGGCAAGAAGAAGGCAACTGCCCCCACGTCTGCACTCACTTCAGCTTCCCTTCTCATCACTGGGTTTGAATCTTGCCCTGCACAGCTTCATAGAATGATGGGGCCACACGGGCCTGAGTTCAAATCCAGCCACGCACCTAAGAAACCATTGCTATGTCTTGGCCATTACTTCTTGTGTGGAATGGGTCCAAGTGTTTCTAGGTTTCTAGTGTGTTAGTACCCCCAGTCACACCCATCTAGACTCTATAGTAAGTTAGTGGCCCCCAGTCACACCCATCTAGACTCTATAGTAAGTTAGTGGCCCCCAGTCACACCCATCTCTAGTGTGTTAGTGCCTGTTGTTAAAATGTCTAAGTTTACCCAGTGACGAGACACGAACCATGGGTCAACGGTCCCACGTGGAGTTTATTGGTAGACAGGAAAGGAAGGGGGATGGAGAGGGAACCAACCCATGCTCAGCAGAGGGGCGGGGCAGCTACGGATCTTATAAAAGGGGAGTTGTACATACGTACTGAGTCCTGTGAAGAGTGACACGGTGATGATGTAGCTGTGTCACTGCCTCCCCGCCGGTCGTCAGGGGGGTGGAGTTAGTATAATATCTAATGCCAGAGTTTCTACAATTCCCACCTCTTATGATAATTTAAAAGGTGGGTTGTTGGGCATGGCAAGTCAGGGAATAAGGGTATGGGGGTTCTCAAGACTGCTTCCTGCTGACCTGGGGTGTCAGCCATCTTTGGGGGACTGGAGAAAGTTGGGGTGTTGCCACGTCCAGGATAGCTGGTTGCTCCATCGCAGTCCAGGCTGTATGGAACTCTCTGGCATCTCTGTAGATCTGTTAAGATGTTAGCAGAGTAGAGGACAAAGTTAGGTTAAACACATTTTCTTGGGTCCTGGTACTTGAGGGGAAGATTGTTAGATGAGGGAGAGGTTCCCAAGGGGTCCTAAGATGAGGAGAGGGAATCCCAGGACCAGGGAGAGGTTGAATAATATCTGGAGTGAATCTGATCTGTTTGGATGGGTCCAATTTGGCCTCCTGGAACTTACAAGAATCCTCTGAGTTTGTGAAAACGTAAGTATTAGACACATTAGCAGCATAATAGAAGCATATTAGAAGTGACTTGGCTGAAAGCATTACTATTTTTAAAACTGACAGATATTTTTAGCACTGTATAGTAGCATTGTTTGGTGTTTAGTACCCTGTTAGAATTGGATTAATAGCTTATCAGCTGATTGTTTTATTGTTGTTGAGGCTGTAAGGAATTTTTGATTACCTTTACTTAGGAGGTACAAGTGTTTGGTGGTCTTTGTATTTCTAGATCCGTGGCTTTTGGCTGGCATTTCTGTAACAACAGCTAATTAGTTGGATTAGAAGTTTTAAATGAGTTGTTGATGAGCAGGGTGTAATTAGAAACAGGAGAGTTCAGATCAGTCTGAGGACAGGAAGGAAAGCATATGGGGTTTCCAGTCCGGCCGAGTTTGGTTGTAGGAGAGGAGCCCTATTCTTCTGAAACAGGAGGCAAAGTATTGATCTCGGTGTCCTCTGAAGCTTAAGGGAGCAAGGTCCTGTTGTAGTAGCTGCATATGAGGAGTGAGTCTCAGGTGAAGAAGTAAAGGGCTTGAGGCGGGATAAGTGAATCCAGTGGGGACGGCCCTCAAGCTTAGCGGCTGTTGGAGTGACGAGAATTACCTTGAAGGGGCCTGCCATTTGGGAGACAGGGACGAGGGGTGTTGGTCCGGAGGAGAGAGAAGGACCCGATCCCCGATATTAGTTGGGGATGTACAGGAGTTGGCACATGGTTGAGGTAGAGAATGGCCAGCAAGGTTCCCTAGGAGGGAATGGAGATGGAGAAGTGAAGGGGTAAGCAGGTGGTCAGGGAGACATGAGGGTTTAGGTGAGAGGCCAGGTGTTAGAGCTGGCTGCCCGCACATGACCTCAAAGGGTGAGATGAAAAGGGGTCGTTTGGGAAGAGCCCTCAGCCTGAAAAGAGCCAGAGGCAAGAGCTTTACCAATCAAAGTGAAGTTCCTGTGATGTTTTAACAAGAACATTTTTAAAAGAGCGGTTAGTGCTCTCTACCCTCCCTGAGGACTGGGGATGATGATATGGAATATGAAAATGCCAAGGAATGTTGAGAGCTTTAGATAGGGTTTGCGAGATCTGAGAGGTGAATTCAGGACCATTTCCTGACTGAAGAGAGGCTGGAATCCCAAACTGGGGAATAATTTCCCTCAGAAGGATGTCAGAGATTGTCTGGGCCCTTTTGTTAGTGGTAGGAACGCTTCTACCCACCTTGAGATGGTATCAACTAGTAGCAGGAGATTTTTAACTCATCTGACAAGTGGGTAAAGTCAAGTTGCCAGTCAGCCCCTGGAAGAAAGCCTCTAGCCTGGTGGGTGGGAAAAGGGGGGTTAAGGTACCTGGAGTTAGGGTCTGACATCTGACAGGTTTTACAAGAGGCAGTGATAGTTCTTAAGAAACTTAAGTCCTCAGGAGTGGGCTGGAGATGCACCTTGACAAGAGGAGACAGAGTCTGACTGTTGGGATGAAAGAGCTGGTGTAGACAGGACAGGATTTGTCGAGTGTCAGGAGGTGACTGTGAGGAGGTGGGTGGTGGTGTATGAACTCCCTGTGGTGGGTGAGGTAGATCTGGGCCTCAGAGGGCTGCAGCCCAGCTGCTTCATCAGCCCCGTTGTTGTGCCTAGAGATAATGGATCTGTCAGTCTGATGAGACCGGCAGTGAATGATCCCTATAGCTTTGGGGAGGTGGAAGGCCTTTAGCAACGCCATAATATAACCTGAGTTAGTTATGGACCCTCCTTTAGTGGTAAGAAGTCCACGCTCTTTCCAGATAGTAGCATGGGACAAGAGGATATGAAAAGCACACTTAGAGTCTGTGTTAACATTTAGAGAATGTCCCTGTGCCAACTGGAAGGCACAGGTGGGGGCTACTAATTCAGCCTGATGGTTAGTGGTGTGGGCAGAGAGTGCCCGTGCCTCCACCACCCTGGTATCTGATACTATGCTGTAGCCTGCTCTACGGGTCCCCCATGTAAAAAGGAGCTTCTATCTGTATACCAGGTATAGGTGGCCTGGGGTAGTGTGCCCTCCTGTGTGTGTGAAGGATGAGACTGTAGTTCCTCTAAGGTTTCAATACAGGAATGAGATGGGGAATAGTTAGTGTTATGCTGAGGTAGAAGGTTTGAGATATTGAGGGGTGAGCAGGATTGGAAAGTAAGGGTGACATTTTCTACCAGCGCCACCTGGAGAGAAAGAGCTCAAGAGGGGTAGAGTTTGTAAGCCTCTATAAGTTAGAAGGTGAGACAGGTTGTGATGGGAAGACAGTGATAGGTGACCCAAAGGTTAGTTTCTTTGACTCGAGAATGAGGAGTTCAGCAGCTGCTAAAGCCAGTATACAGGGTGCCCACCCTTGGGGAGTTAGGTCTCATTTCTTCGACAGATATGCTATGGGTGCAAAGGAAGATCCTAACTGGTGACCTAGAGCTCCAAGGGCATGTCCCTCCTTTTCGGCTACATAGAGGAGAAAGGACGAGTTAGGTCTGAAAGATGCAGGCCTGGGGCCTGGAGAAGAGCCTATGAATTTCTGAAAGGGCTTAGTAACAGGGTTAAGGAGGGGTTCACATGGAGAGCCAAGAGCTGCCTCATATAGGGGACGAGCAAGGAGAGAGTAGGAGGGGATCCAAGAGCGTAGGAAGCCAGCTGTTCCTAGAAACGATAAAATCTCCTCTTTAGTAGAAGGATCTGCAAGAGATTGGATTAGGTTGTTTCTGTCTAAGGTAATAGCTTTGTGAGTTGGGGTGATAGTTAGTCCCAAGTAGGTGACTTGAGAAGTAGACAATTGGACCTTAGAAGGTGAGACTCTTTAACCCCTGTCAGACAGGAAATTTAGAAGAGCGGAGATGTCAGTCTGGCTAACTTCCAAGGACAGGCTGCAAAGTAAAATATCATCTATGTATTCTGTGAGCTTGGATTTGGAGAGAGATAGAGAGAGCAGGTCAGAAGCTAGAGCCTGACCAAGTAAGTTTGGGCTGTCCCAAAAGCCCTGAGGTAGAACGGTCCAGGTGAGCTGCATAGAGGCATACGTGTCAGGGTCAGTCCTGGTGAAAGCAAAGATATTCTGTGACTGAGTGTCGAGGGGTATAGAGGAAAAAGCATCCTTAAGATCCAAAACTGAGAAATGAGAGGTCCCCGAGAGGACAGTGGAAAGGATTGTGTAAGGATTAGGTGTCACAGGATGGAGGGGGGACCACTGCTGAATTAATGAGCCGGAGGTCTTGAACCAGGCGATAGGTCCCATTCGGTTTTTTTTACCACCAGTATAGGGGTGTTAAAGGGAGAGGATGTAGAACCACGTAACCTTTTTCTTAGGAGGTCAGAGATGACAAGCTTAAGTCCCCTGAGGCTTTGGAGTGAAGTGGGTACTGAACTTGAGTGATGTACCTAGAGGGGTCCTGTAACTGAATGACAATGGGGGAATGGTGTCTAGCCACAGAAGGGTTTTGGGTGTTCCAGACTTTGGGGTCTACCTGAGAGGCTGGCAGAGGAAATGACATATTGGAACCACTAGGGTGAGTGCCGAGGAGGAGGAGAGGAGCCGCTGGTGAGTCTGGAATTAGGCGAATGTGGGGAGCAAAAGACATAGGAGCTCCCACCTTTGCTGAAAGATCCCTCCCCAGTAAGGGCACAGGACAAGGTGGTATAACTAAAAACGAATGAGTGAGGGGAATTCCCCTGGATAGCAGCTAAGTGGTGGAGTCTGAGGAGGTAAGTAAGGCTGTCCCCTACCCCGACAATAGGGAGATGAGGAGAGGTGGGTCCCCCAAACTCCCTTAGGACTGAGTAAGTGATACCAGTGTCCAAAAGGAAGGAGATGAATCACCCTGCTATCTTAATCTCCCTGTGCGAGATGACAGTGGTCGGGTCAGGAGAGCCCAGGCCCCTTCACTCCTCGTCATCGTCCATAGCCAGAGCTAGGAAGTCAGCTACAGGGCGGTCTGTGTCTGATGTCCTCCTGCCACAAGGGGTACGGGACAGTTCACTAACCAATGGCCCTCTTTTTGGCATTTTAAACACGGTTTGAGAGGCACACAGGGATTAGGGCACGACCAGGCCCAATGCCCTTCTTGACCATATTTGAAACAGGGACGCCGTGGTTCTGGAACCCGGGAGGGCAAGGGATCCCGGGAAGACTTTGAGACTCCATAATTAACAACAGTGCCCGTCACATTCATCTAGATGTTATAGTGAGTTAGTTCCCCCATCACACCCACCTAGATGTGTAGTGAGCTAGTGCCCTCCCAACGACCACCTCTGGTCATACCCTAGACCCTAGAATTTACTTGGAAATTGGGAATTTATAGTGAAATTATAGTGGATCAGGGTGGACACTAGTCCAGGGGCTGATGCCTTTATAAAAGCAGGAAACACACAGAGATACACCAGGGACAAGGCTACATGAACACAGGAGGTGATGCTGTACGTGGCAGGGGATGCCAAGGATCGCTAAGTGGCTGCCTGGTGGGAAGTTATGAAGAAGCCGGGAAGTGTTCTTGTTTATTTATTTTTCTGTTTCTGAGTGTGTTCGTGTGCATGTGTGTGTGCACATGTGTGCATGTATGTGGGCACACTTTCATACGGATGCACATGTACTCGTGCTTATGAATGTGGAGGCCTGAGGTTGATGTTGGGAATCACTGTCAGTGGCTCTTGCGCCTTACTCAATGAGGCAGGGTCTCTCTTTCAAACCCAGAGCTTGTGATATGGCTAGTCTCGAAGCCAGCTTGCCGCGGGGGTCCCCATTCCATAGGGACAGGACAGCTGACAAGGGCAATAGCTCCAGGGTGACTGACAGGGATGTGACTTGAGCACCTACAGACAACAGTGCTGAAAGCAAAACCAAAACTCTCCTGCAGGCAGCATCCAGTTCCTCAAAAACCATTCTGGGTGAATTTCAACCCCCACTTTTTTTCTTTTTAACAGGAAAACAGAACTTCAAGGATCATGACTGCATCTTTTCTTCCCTTATTGAATATATCGTAGTCTCAGATGTGGGCATACTTTTGTTGCACCCTCCTGTCTTAGAACTAGGGAGAATCCACTGCTGTCCCCTTTGCGGACAGTTTTGGCTGTGGGTGTCATTGGCTTCAAGGGAATCTGATGCGAAGACCTCCAGGAGATGCTTTTCCTCGAGTCTGCTGGCAGAGCTGTGCCGAGGCTGCTGTGAGTATGGGGAACAGTGCATTGACAGCATCTCTTACGATCTTGGTTTTTGGGGGACGATGAGAATACATCTTTTCTTTACGTCATTTCTGACTGAGAAATTGTGCTTATGGGGAAATTTCTTTCTATCTCCCAAAAGTCAGGGTTTCTCTCACTTCTCCCAGTGTTTGCTATTCTTATTGAAACTCTTTATGTGGTAAAGAACTCTCTGCATTAAAAAAAAAGTGTCACTGTAGAGAAAACTATTCTTGCTGGGGTTTAGTTTTTTCTTTTTCTTTTTTATTAATATTGTGCCGTGGTTGCGGAGTGTCAGCAGGTGTGTTGAGGCCAGAGGACAGCTTGTAGCATCTGTTCCGTCTTCCTACCTTTAAATGATAGGAACGGAGCTCAGGCTTGGACGGCAAGCGCCTTTACCACCAAGCTGTCTTAGCAGCCTGAGAAGCCATTCTTGAGATTGCCTCCTTCAGAGGTTTTGAAGCAAGTGTTAGCAGTTTAAAATTTTTCAGAATCTGTTTTTCTCCAACTGACATCTGTAAGTGATTGCCCTTTTGGAAAGCAGGCAATACCCCCAGCTGACCTGTGTTTACAAAGCAAGGCTCTAAGAGTACGCTATTAGGGAGAGAAAAAAATTTAAATAGTTATATTTCATGAATCTAATCTTTTTCTTTAATTATTTTTAAATGTGAAATTATAATTACATCCTTCCCCTTCTTTTTCCTTTCTCAAAACCTTTCATATACCCCTCCTTGCTCTCTTTCAAAGCCAAGGCCTCTTTTCTCATTAGTTATTGTTACATGTGTGTGTGTGTGTATTCCTAAGTACAGCCTGCTCAGTCTGTATAATTTTACTCATATGTATATTTTCAGAGCTGACCATGTGGTATTGGATAACCCGGGGAAGATTATCCCTCCCGTCTCAGCATTCCTCAGTTGCTTAAGTCCATTGTGTAGGGTTGAGGCTTTATGGGTTTTCTCCTTTGGCATGTCTATCATTGTTCTTATTCAGTTCCTGTTTAGGCAGGCATGTTGCTGAACATTTTTGGGCATAGTTTCTGACATTTCTAGAGGACACAGTCTCACAGAAAACTCCCTGACCCTCTGGCTCCTACACTCTTTCTGCCTTCTCTTCTGCAGTGGTCCCTGAATCTTGGATGCAGAATGTTTTGTAGATGTATCCTTTGGAAATGGTCTCCACAAGTCTGCATTAACCACTATTTAATTAAAAAAATAGGATTTCAGCCTACTAAGTAACTTACTTTTTCATGTAAGATAAAACTGCAGTGACCTAAGACATACCTAAGAGGAGAGTTGTGGCAGTGGATTCGTGCATGGTGACAGAGTATGGGAGTATCTCCAAATAATGCTGAGATACCATGCACTGGGGCACTATGCTTCCGAGTTGATCAGCTTACAAGGCGTTCTTTCACTGAGGCAGTTTCTTCAGTCCCCAGGATTAACTGACATTTCTGTGATGGAAATAACTTCTTTGTCTAGCCCTGAAATGTTCGGGCCTTAAGACTCCAGTCATCCTTGTTGCTTCTCTTTTTCTCACCTATATGGTTGATGAGTTGCCAATTGTTTTGTCAACAGTTCTGTCAATGGTCTTACAGTTTCTCCTTTCTCTGCTTCCCTTTTCTGACTCTAAACAAAGACTTTCTGATCAAATGTATAGAAGAAGACAATGACCCTCTGAGTGGCCAACCCTCCCTCAGTTCTGTGTACACACACACACACACACACACACACACACACACACACACACACAATTTAATCATTTCCCCACTCTTTTGGCATTTTAACTGTTTTTGGACGGTGGGCACTGCAACCTCATTATCACCTCTGCCTGGCACTAAGCATGTGATTGTTCCGTGTGAATTTCAGAAACCACTTTAGTCTTTTGTGTTCCCTCAGCTTTCCCATGCATTCGCATTTCTGAGGTTTAGTTTCTGTACTTCCCAGGTGCCTACCCAAAGAACTTTCAGGCCAAATTTCCCAGAGCGTTAGAAGCGACTTCAAGGCCCCCATCCCTAGGAAGTCTCCATCTCTGTAGTCAGTTTACATGGAGCTTGCTCTGTCATCATTCCATTTACACTAGCTCCTACTTAGTTATAATGCCTTCTATGGTATAATGCCTTCTATGTTATAATGCCTTTCACTTGCAAGGGTCTTTTCTTAAATGAATCCTACTACAAATTCTACATGGTCTGATAGAAAGAATCACGAAAGCCAATGTGTGTACTGGGGGAGCTCAGTGTTGATTAAATGAAAGATTGAGATGCAGCTTGAACTTATGCAACCCACTAATTGCAATGAGTAACAACTTAAGACTATAAGTTGTCTATGATGCCACAGATTATTTAAATATGACACAGTTACTCATATCCCCTTGAGAACAAGGAACTGGCTCTAAGCTCCCCTATTAATCATGGAAGCTGGCTGTTAACAAAAATACTTGAGTTCAGGTAGATATGACACAATGAGGAGTGACAGAATCCCAGGGCCAATTCTGCATTCTTTTGCTGAAAGGCACCAAATTCAAATTATTTTCAGACATTGCTAACTCTAGTTTCAGTCTTAGATACTTGATCTCAGAATCATTAGCTAATTCAGACATGTTAATCTAGTCTAGATGTCTCTTTAATCTAAATTTTCATGGGCATGCTAGGCTGTGTCAGATACTTAAAGTATGTAAGAAACCAAACCAGATAAAACTAGCAATGTTTAGTTATAATGAGATGATACACAGACATGATCTGATTGTCTCTTGGTCTTTGGCTAAAACCAAGGATCTGTTATGCTTGTCATTATTACAGAAAGGAAAAATCTAGGATTCTGTGCCTGGGTTGTTCAAAGATTGAGGAAACTTTCTCAAGCTTGTTGGCTGTGTCTTATGTTCTGTAATAAGAGCTTTATTACAGTAAAAATTCTGAATAAAATAAAGAATGAAAGCTTTTCTACATTTTCTAACATCACAAACTTAATTTATTTCATTGTTAATTTGGTCAGATGGCAGAATTGGCAAGAAACTAAACCTACAACAACCAAGAAATGAAACTGCCAGCCCCAATATGATTTCTGAGCCTCTTACAAGTTTTTCTTTGAGAAGTTTTGTTTTAAGTTTTTCAAACTTACAGAAATTTTCTTGATTTCTCTGGAAAAATATGACTTCCAAATATATAGAAATCATGAGCTAAAAATCTACTGGGGATCCGGGTGTATCATTGGCCCATGCCTATAATCCCAGCATTCCACTAGTAAAAAAGGAAGATCAGATGTTCAAGGCCAGCCTGGGCTACATAAAACTTCACCTGAGCCGGGCGTTGGTAGCGCACACCTTTAATCCCAGCACTCGGAAGGCAGAGGCAGGCAGATCTCTGTGAGTTCGAGGCCAGGCTGGACCGACAGCCTCCAAAACAGAGAAACCCTGTCTTGTAAAAACAAAACAAAAAAAACTCCACCTGAGTAAAACTGGCAAGTGATGATGATATTATTAGTTGCTATTCGGGAGAAAGTTGAATAAAAACTACTGAAAATAAGACAGATAAAGAATACAATTGAGGTGTAACTACATTGCAAATATGTGCTTAGAAAGCCCAGGGCCGTTCCTCAAAATAGGTAGTTTTAGAGAGACTTCTACTAGATGATCCCTTAGTGGGCTTATGAAATGAATGGGCACATGTAAAGTCGTGCAATTTCTAAGTGTAAGATTGCCTGTCACCTCAGAAGGGATAATGGCTGTAAATTCAAAGAGTGATTGACTTATCATTTACAACATATCATCCAAGTACCCATGAGCATTTCTGTTCGTTTCCTGTGGTTTGACGAAGAGATGCAGGTGTTAGTGAACCTGATGATTTCTAGAATCCATCACAGTACAATTGAAAAAATGGACACAATAAGAATAGATAGATGGTGGGGTACTGACTTATAAAACACAAGTGAATTTCAGAAAGGAGACTGAAGAGAGGGACTGGCTACCTGCACATTTCATCTATCCGTGTCATCACTGTATTGTGGATGCCCTGTAAATGATGAGTTCATTACTTTGTCTGTGTATTCATTCCATACCCCCTCCAGACTCTGCATTCATCCCATATATCCTCTAAACTCTATTCCTTACATGATCCAAACTCTCCATTCATCCTGTGCATCCTCCAAACTCTCCACTCATCCCATACACCCTCTAAACTCTCCATTCATCCCATACATCCTACAAACTCTGCATTCACCCCATACATTCTCCAAACTCTCCATTCATCCCATACACCCTCTAAACTCCCCAGACCCTACTTGCCTAGCTATAAAAGAATCCATGCTTCCTTCACTTCATTGTACTTGACTTTTGCTTCCCTAACTATAAGGGCTCTGAGGACCTATTCATTTAGAAAATATGGTTCTTGCACAGAACTCAGAAGACAAAGGTCTTGTTTGTATCGAGTAGAGTCTTTAGACAAGTTGACAAGGGAGGGTCTTACTATACCTGTGCTGACAACCTTGTAAGCACCTTCCACCAATGGAAATTCTTGCTTCAACGTGGGCCTTTGTCTGAAACAAGTCCTAGGATGATGGTTGTCTGCCTGTTACTACTTCATCCCATTGTGGCCTTAACTACTGATAGGAAATTCTTCCTAAAGTTTCTGTTTATCTAAAAGAGGAAGAGTCTGTCTAGGAGCCAGGCTCCCAAGGGAATGATCATGCTTATAAGTAGCAATTTATTGTCTACTCAACAAAATTCCAATACCCTAAATAAATGAAAAAGGCTTCCAGACTAACATATAATCACTTGACATACCAGTAATGAGCTACATGCTAGCCTTAGAATACACTCAAGATACAGGGAACTGCATAAGGCAGTTAGGAAATGTTTGTGTAGAATGTTACTAGTACAATATAAGGCATTTTAACAAGACATGTATGGTATAATAAAACTCATAAACAAAGATAGAGTAAAGCAAAATACTTTACAAAGTAAAACGAGATTAGAATTTACATAACCATCCTGAGTGTTCCTGTTCCTGGAAAGGGCAAGGGTTTTTGTGACTAAGGAGGCAAAAGAGGCCAGGGCAGGAAAGGAATTAAAGGCTGTCCCAAGGAAAACTTGACTCCATAAGCAATAACACATGTTTTAAAAGAATCATTCTGGCTGCTGAATTGGGCATCAAATGTCAGATGGTGGGATTAGGATCTTAGAGTCTTATTATCAAAAAGCTGCAGAAACCGTCACAAGAGATGATTATGCCCCTCACTGATATGGAATCTCTGGGGGCGGTGAGAAGTGATTAGGTTCTGAGTATATGTGAAGAGAGAGAGCTTATAGGATGAGTTGGTGAGTCAGAATTGAAAGGGAGAAGAAAAGAATGAAAAATAATTCCAGGACTGATGTCCTTTGTCTCAACAAGACTGGAAGAGAGGAAGCCAGGACACAAAGGGGGAGGCAGCAGTGAGGAAGCTATCCTGCGGCAGCAGCAGAAGTGATGAGAGTCTGAATTAAGGGGATGCCAATGGATAGCAGGAAGGAGAGGGATCATCTAAGATGTGTGGCAGATGTAGAAGTAAGAGGATTAGAGGAGATTATGAGATGATCTCCTAAGATTCTGGCAGGAGATGGTTGTTGTTGTTATTATTATTATTGTTTTTATTATAGGAAAGAAAGTGCAAAGCTTTTATATGTTGTCCAAAGTATTAGAGGCTAATAATTTGTAATTTTATTGCTTATGTGCCTGGTTTTAGAGTCTGTGTTCTTACACATGACACGGGTCACATTTTCCCGAGAAGCAAAATTAATAGGACAGGAGTTTGCAGGCTGGAAAGTACCTTTAGAACAGCCTGTTCCTCTGCTTCCCAGGGAGGCAATGTTCCAGAAAAATTCAATGGGTTGGCTGTTGAAGAAAGGGCCAGTAGTGAGTGACCCTGGAGCACTTTTTGTTACTAGAATTCTGCTGCATGTCATCTTTTCATGGTTTAAACATAAGAATGCTGGCAAGTGCCAGGCCTGCTGCCATGCATGAAGGCAGTAACTTTTTAAGTTATGCTTGCATTTTGATAAGAGGAATGCCATGGTTGGGTTTCAACTAAGGTACATGGCAAGTAGTATGCCCTGAGTACTTCCTGTGTGATGTGGCCCTTCCTGAAAGAAAGGCAAGGACACAATGACTGGACTCCTACATCTTTATTTGCAAGTGTTCATTGCAGTGAGTCATTGGTCTGGCTTGAGGTCTCTGGTTTCTGCTACACCACAATACTGGCCTCTCATTGGGACTCGTCTTAGCTGTCCTGTTGCTACCCTGTGTCATGGAGACCCCGTAGCTTTGGATTTATAGGATGGGTGTTTCACATGCTCTAGCGCTTCTTAGATGGGCTGGATGTTGGGGTGGGTCAATTGATAGCCAGGGTTCTGGGCCTGGGTGGTAGCTAGGTTGGTCAGCCTGCCAGTTCTCCCCCCATCCTCACCACCAGTGAGAGCATTGCCCCTGCTGACTCACCCCATGCAGCAGGAAGCAAGAGGTGGGGTCTGTTCCCTTGCTCTCACACCCTTGGGGGCAGCTCACCCCCACCCTAAGCCCTAACACCAGGGTCAGCTCTGTGTTGCCCATATGGGGTGTGGGGCCCACTCTCCAGAGTGCGGCAGCTGGTGTGGGGCAGGGCCAGCTCTCCTGCTTTTGTGTCCCTAAGACCAGCTCCACTGTGCTGCCCAGGCAAGGCACAGGGCCTGCTCTCCCACTCTCCTGATTCTGGAGCCAGATCTCACCTGCCGAGGGGCAAAGGGTGTGGGGCTAGGTAGGAGAGCTTCTCTCTCTCACCCATGCTGTCACATGACCAGCAAGTAATGGGGTCATCTCTTCGGTTCTCACAACCTCAAGCCAGCTCACAAGGTCAACTGTACTGTGCTGCCCAGACAAGGTGCAGGGCCAGCTCTGACTGGTGAGGGGCAGGACCAGCTCTCCCACCTGCCACAGGCGATGGGGGTTGGGGGGTAGCTCTCCCAGGCTCACATTCTCCAGCCAACTCACACCCCCTACCTCACCCCAACCCTACCAACAGCGTACAATGGGCCTTTCTGAGCATTTGTTGACACAATGTTTTGGCCCTTTTCAAACCCCCCTCAAGTGGATTCTGAAGAGATCTCCTGGAAACAACCTAAGTACTTTGTTATTTAAAGAATGAATACCTGGTATGTGGAGTGTTAGTTCATTTTGTCATGGAGAAGATAGTCGATATACTTAGAAATCTCAAAGGGAAAAAAAAAGCCTTGTGCCACAGGGCCCCTTATGGAGAAACACTGGGGTTATCCAGGAGGCAGAAGGGAGATATGTAGGTAGGTGAGAAAGAAGTCAGGCAGAAAAAGCAGATTTACAATGAACAAACAGAATCTCTGCTTGCTTTCAGCACGGACTTGCTGGTTGTGAGGAGTAAGACAGATAGTGAACACGAATGTCAAGGTCCCCAGTGAAGCAGGTCATAGACCACAAAGACTCTGAATTGCCTGGTTTACATTTAAACAAGAGTTCCTGGTCCATCGATGCCACCTCTTAGAACTGGCTGATTTGGGGAGGGTGGTCTGATCAGCATCAGCAAGCTTTGAATCTGCCAAAGATCAGGATGCCCAGATGGGATCCGCAGTTAACAAGTGCTGTCACCTGGGCCTCTGCCACGTCTTTGCTGCTGCCTCTCCTCACAAGGGTGCAGACATGTTGAAACACCCCAGGTCTGTGGCTTCATACTTTGTCTTTCCTATCTCTCATGGCTGACGTCATGCAGGCTGTGACCTATGCCACTGTTACAAAAAGTCTTATCATAACCTCCAGCTTTGGACTGTCTGCCCTGCCACCTCCCAAGGCTTTCACTTGGAACGCTGGCAGGCACCTCAGATCTGATGGCTATTGCTGGCTGTCTGCTACCCTAATGACCCCATCCCCAAGCCCAGGAGTTCTGCTGCAGTTTTGTAACTACTTATTTATACAGTCAGCAATTCCCTATAGGTTTTCTTTCAAAATATAGAAAATGGCCCAGTCAGTGACTCACACAATTTACTCCATTCTCTCCTCACCCTTGCCTGAAAAACCCGGTGTGGCTGACCTCCTGAAACTCAGTGAGTACAGGCTGAAGAACCCAGAGATGTACGGGAGAATCAGTAGGCAGATGACCAGACAAGCACCAGCAGCACGCACCGAGTACCCGATGAATATTGCCGTCCGATTCTACTTTCTTTCCACTGTTTAAGTTTGTAATGTGAAGAGGTTGGACCAAGTTTAAATGGCTGGGTTCTCTCTGTCACATCACAGAATCCATAACAACTGGAAACAAAGCCCTCTGCTTGCCTCTCCCTCCTGCTGGGGAGGGAGGAAGCTGGGTGGGAGGTGGTGAGATCCAGAGTAAAATCTGAGACGGTCCGTGGTGTCCTGCAGGCTGCAACATGCAGTTTAACCAGAGTGCCATTTTTTTTTGTTCAAATTATTGTAATTTTTAGAACGCGCAACAAACATTTGAATGTGCAAATAAAACGTTTTAAAGGCTTGGGATGGTGAGATCTCTCAGTGAGCATAGGTGCTTGTTAAGGAAGCTCGGAGACCTAAGTGCTGTTCCCAAACCTCACAGAAAGGTAGAAGGACAGAACCAACTTCACAGAGTTGGCTTCCATATGCACATCAGAGCACATGTACCCACACCTACCCACATCATCAATAATAATAAAAAATAATCTTTTTAAAGGAAAACAGGGAAAAGCAACCAGACAGATAGGTTTCTTTCAGGGCTTGGAGGACTTAATGTTGAGATGATCCTATACCCCTTGGATGGAGCTGTGGAGTCAATGTTGTTCTTACCAAAGCACAAAATCCAATTCTTTTGTGCAGAATAGACAAGTCTATACTAAAATTCATACAGAAGTTCAAGGGAGAGGAGGAAAGAAGTAGGAAGGGCTGAGGGAGGGAGGGAGGGAGGGAGAGGACTTGAGAAGGAACAAAGTTGTCTCACTTCCTGATTTCAAACTTACCCCAACACTACAGTAATTATTAGCACTGTGTGATAGGGGCATAGAGCAGACATAGAGCTGAGCAAAGCAGACGAAAAGTCCAGCAATACGTCCCCACATCTGTCATCCAGGGTGCCAAGACAGATCTACAGAGAACGCATAGTTAGCTTTTTAAAATAAATTTTTATTGAAACGTGCAAAAACCCTTACTTATCCACAAAAATTAACTCAAAACAGTTTAGAGACCCAGGTATGAGCAGAACATATTCTGTTTTCACAAGAAAATGTTAGCAAGTGATAAACAGATGTGGCTCATTACACAATGGAATAGCTTCCCGTTATGAGGGATAAAATATTGATATGTGATGCACAACAGATGAATCTTGACATTATGTTCATTGTAAGAGGCTAGCCACAAAAGATCAAGAGCTCCTTGATGTCACTTTTGTGAAATGTTCAGCAAAAGTAGTTGACCAAGACAGAAAGTAGGCTGGTAACTGCTAGGGATTCTGGGAAAATGAAGGGGAAATGGGAATTTCTCTAAATTGGTATGGTTCCTTTTAGTGGTAAGTAAAATGTTGCAAAATCAAATAGTGGTGCTGGTTACACAACTCTATGTATATATCAAATAATTCACTGAATTAATATTCTACTTTTTAGAGTCTGTATTAAGTTTATACAGCTTTCTTTGTGTGTTAACTTTAACAATTCTAATAAAGCTATTGAACATTAAAAACAAATTTAAGGAACACATAGAAAAGAAAACCCTCAACAGATCACTTCCCTCTTCTAATGCAAGCAATCACACTGCCCTCCTTAGTCTGCATTGCCAACTAACTCGTCCTTCTGATAGTAGGTAATTATCTAACCAAAGCAACATCCTCTTCTAAAATGCAAATGATGTTACCCAGGCCCAGAGAGAATCCCTCCACCAGCTTACCATATTCTCTGAACAGCTCTGCTTCCCCAGGACTTACATGTATAGCTTTCCTTGGAGAAATGGTTCCTTTCAAGAACTGACAGCAATGTGCCTTCCCATCTGTGTTAAAAACATGAGCATTCTGTGGATGCAGAAAACCTGAGATCAGAAGTGAACCAGGAGGTGGACCTAGGCTGAGTTGGAGCAGGATCCATCACACGTCCCATTCCCACTAGACCCTAGAGCTCTATCTGCTTTGTCTAGAGCTCTCAGGAAACCCTGAGTTTCCTCCCAATCCCCTGGAAGAATGACTATTGTCAAGGAAACAGCAAAACACGGCACAGCAGGTGCTAGAAGATATGCAGGGAAAATTAACCCTTGCACACTGCTAATAGGAATGAAAATTAGTATAATCACATGGAAATTAGCATGGATATTCCTTTAAAAAAAACTAAAGCTGGTACCATCATACAGTCCAGCTGTTCCCCTCCTGAGAACCCAATGGAATCTAACTCATTCACCAAAATACTTGTGTATCCATGCTTATTGCTGTACCATTCATAGCAGTCAAGTTATGACATTGGTCCAGGTGCCCACTGATGGATAAAAAATACGTTGTGTATGTATACAATAGAACATTATTCAGCCTTAAAGAAGAATTCAATTCCATTTGTAGAAAAAAATGTGTAAGCAGGAGAACTGCTAATGAGGAAGGGTGCCATGAGGATATGGGGGCTTATAGGGTAATGGGAGTAAATATAATCAAAGTCCATGAATGAAAAGTCACAACAGAACCCATTGTTTTATACAATTAGTAGCTAATAAAGTTTTCACAATATGAATATAAGTATTCTCAGCATATAAATCTTAACCAGATTTTTCAGGTATAACTTAGAATAAGTAATAAATCATCTCCATTTAATGTGTTCAAATAAATAAAAAGTAGGGCAGGCACAGTGGCCCTTGTGTATTCAGAGGGTGGAAGCAGGAGAATCAGAAGTTCAAAGTCAGTCTCTGCTACATAGGTAGAGTCAGCCTGGATAATAGGAGACCCTGTTCCAAAAAAAATAATTAAAAATAATGCTTAGAAAACTCACTAAGAGGCAAGTTACATTTCCCTGATGGCTAAGGATGTTGAGCAATTTCTTAAGTGCCTTTCAGCCATTTGAGATTCCTCTATTGAGAATTATCTATTTAGATCTGTACCCCATTTCTAATTGGATTATTGGGTGTTTTGGTGTCTTTCTTTAGTTCTTTGTGTATTTTGGAGATCAGCCCTCTGTGAGATGTGGGGTTGGTGAATATATTTTCCCATTCTGTGGGCTGCCTTTTGTCTTGCTGACTGTGTCTTTTGCCTTACAGAAGCTTCTCAGCTTCAGGTGGTCCCATTTATTAATTATGGATCTCAGTGTCTATGCTACTGGTGTTATGTTAAGGAAGTGTTCTCCTGTGCCTATTCGTTCAAGTGTACTTCCCTCTTTCTATTCTAAAAGGTTCAGTGTGGCTGAATTTATGTTGAAGTCTTTGATCCATTTGGGCTTAAGTTTCATGCATGGGGATAGATGTGGATCTATCTGTAGTCTTCTACATGTCAGCATCCAGTTATGCCAGCACCATTTGTTGAAGATGCTTTCTTTTTTTCATTGAACAATTTTAGATTCTTTGTCAAAAATCAGGTGTTCATAGATGTGTGGATTAATATCAGTGCCTTCAATTTGATTCCATTGGTCTACCTGTCTGTTTTTGTGCCAATACCAAGTTGTTTTCATTACTATAGCTCCAGAATAGAGCTTGAAGTCAGGGATGGTGATACCTCCTGAAGTTATTTTATTGCACAAGATTGTTTTGGCTATCCTGTGTTTTTTGCTTTTCCATATGAAGTTGAGTATTATTCTTTCAAGGTCTGTGAAGAATTGTGCTACGGATTGCATTGAATCTTTAGATTGCTTTTGAGCAGAGATACACAGCTAAGCACTGAGCCAAATTGCTGGAATCCAGTTGTAGAGAGGGAAGAGTGATGAGCAAAGGGGTCAAGACCATGCTGGGAAAACCCACAGAAATAGCTGACCTGAGCAAGTGGGAGCTCACAGACTCCAGACTGACAGCTGGGAAACCTGTGTAAGACCAAACTAGACCCTCTGAATGTGGGTGTAAGTTGGGGGCCTTGGGCAGTCTATGTGGCTGCTGGCAGTGGAACCAGTATTTTTCTCTAGTGCATGAACTGGCCTCTTGGAGCCCATTCTCTATGGAGGGATACCTTGCTCATCCTAGATACAGCAGGGATGGCCTTGGTTCTGCCCCAAATGATGTGATAGACTTTGATGATTCCCCATGGGTGAAGTGGGTGGGGCATGGGATGGGAAGACAGTGGGAGGAGTGGGAGAGTGGGAGAGTGAAAAAATGGTATATAAATATCAAACAAATAAAAAAAACCCACAAAACAACAACAACAACAAAAAGCTACACAACAGGCATGATGGGTCGCAGCACTCAAGAACTTGATGTTTTCTGCTCAACCAACTAGGAAGCATTGAGACGGCAACCCTGATCTCCCAAGCTGACCCCTGTTCTCCAGGGTCCCCTCTCCAGGTTCTGGTCCAGCTAGAGAGCATGGCGTACCTTATTTAATTTGTAAACAAGGCTAGTGTTCAAGATTTTGATACTGACTCAACTTTAGAAGTGAGGTAGGAGGCACAAAAGGGTACAGACGATGTGGGTGACTGATGAGTTTCAGCCTCTTCTCCAGAAAAGGCCACCCCAGAAGGAAGAAGAGCATCTCATTTGAATTCAGAAAGAGTGCCTTCTTCCTCCTTACTGCACATGCCCTCTTCTGCAGAAAAGGCACCTACTGCTTGCTTCTCCTCTTGCCTTTGCTGTCACCTGTGTCTCCCACAAGATTTGTATCTGGGTCATTACCATGCTCTTGGGAGTAGTTAAGCCAGCAGAGACTGAGAAAGCTCACCAAGCCCTGAGACTCTCAATGGTCCATTTCAGATCGACACAGACCATGATCCTCCTGCCGCTGATGTTGAGTCTCGGCTTGCACCTTCATCATATAGCAGGTAAGAAAGGATAGGGGGAGGGGCATGGGAGCGACGAGCAGGTGATGGTCCGTAGCCAAAGCTGGAAATGAGTGTGCTCCTCCGTCGATGGGCTTTCTTCGAGAGGGAGTGGGGTTACTGGATATTTCAAGTAACAGAGAAGAATGGTTCCCAGGGAGGCTGGTCCCATCTTACAGAAAATTACTCCATCTGTCCCCATCATCCAATGCTTTCAGAGACACATCTGAGTGGATGTAAGAGAGCAGTGGTTCAGTTCCGTTTAAAATAAGGTGCTAACCAGCTGCTTCCCCTCTATCAGGGACAGCGACCAGGGTAAACATAAAGCACTTTATCACTCATGTGAAATCTTTTAGCAAGCAGTGGCGGCAGCCACTGGTCATTTAATGTCTTGATGTGGACTGGAACGAAAAGTCGGAGTCTCCGTAAAGCCCCGATGAAAATCGAATCTGAAACCTCTGCCTTTGAACTTGAAGATGGGACATCTAGTGGAGGATGTGGTTGAGCAGGGAGAAAGCAGTTTCAGAATTGATTGTTCCCCTGGGGAAGGTATTTCAGATCACTGGTGTGTACCATCGGGGCGGCAGTACACTTTCAAGAGAAGGCTTAGGGGACCCGATGATCCTCAATGGAAGCCTTGAGAGGAATCATGGCCAAAGTGGTCCTTCGGCACTGGATAACCCTTTGATGAGCAGTCTCCTCATCTCATCCTGTCCAGGTTGTCGGTCCCACACTTATCTTCCAGCCATGCTCCTTCCCTCCCTGTGGGCCTGATCTGGCACTAGGACACATATTTGGCACATTCTTCTTTAAAAAGACCCTAGTAGTTGTCCTCTTTATTGTCCCCCTCTACCCCAGTGCTAGCTAAAGGAGCTTGTAATGATTTTACCTTAATTGGACTAGAGTTTTTGTTCCCATAAAGCCATAAAGGGACCAATGGGCAAAAGCAGGGTCTGAAGCTGGAGTTCCTGTGCCCTAACAGGATTCTGCATTCAGGAGAAACCTTGGGGAGTGTGCAACCTCTATAGATTAGTAGCTATAAAACCACCAGGGCTGGTGCTTTGCTGGTTTTCTTCTGTGTTTTCTCTTAGGAAAGGAAAGGGCTAGGGAAACGAGGGTGAAGGGTGGCAAATATTTTGTTTTGGTTTGGTTTGGTTTGGTTTTTCGCTGTTTGTTTGCCTGTGCTTTTTCATTTCTTTTCTTTTTATTTCATTTGTTTTTGAATTTATTTTATTTATTTGTTTTACATCCCAACTGAAGTTTCCCCTCCCTCCCCTTCTTCCATTCCCTCCCCTAACACTCCTTCTGCTCACCCCATGCCCCCTCAATCCACTCCTCTGTTTCTCAGAAATGGCAGGCCTCCCACGGGTGCCAACAAAGCACGGCATATCAAGCTGCAGTAAGACTAAGCTCCTCCCCTTGTATTAAGGCTGGGGAAGGCAATCCAGTATGAGAAATAGGATCTCAAGAGCCAGACAAAGTGTTAGGGACAAGCCCTGCTCCCATTGTAGGAGTCCCACAAGTAGACCAGGCTACACAGCTGTCACATGTATGTAGAAGGCCTAGGCCAGTCCAATGCAGGCTCCCCGGTTGTTGGTTCAGACTCTGTGAGATCCTATGAGCCTGGTTAGTTGTTTCTGTGGATTTTCTTGTGATGTCCTTGACCCCTCTGTTCCTACAGTCCTTCCTCCCTCTCGGCAGCAGGATTTCCTGAGCTCAGCCTAACGTTTGGCCGTGGGTCACTGCATCTGTTTTCATCAGTTACTGGATTACTGTTCTCCGATGACAACTGGGGAAGTGACTAATCTGGTCATGGGAGATGACCAGTTCAGTCTATGTATCCACTATTGCTAGGAGTCCTAGCTGGGGTCGTTCTTATAGATTCATGGAGTTTCCCTTGTATCAGGTTTCTACATGACCCTGAAATGCCCCCCATTTCCGGTCATTTTCAGTACTCTCCTACTCCATCCAGCCCCCAGTTTCCACCCCACACCTGCCCCCAGTCCACCCAGAATATCTCTTCTATTTCCCCTTCCCAGGGAGATCCCTGTGTCTCCCCCTTGGGCCCTCGATGTTACCCACCCTCTCTGGCACTGTGGATTGTAGCATGGTTATCCTTTTCTTTACAACTAATATTTACTTATGACAGAGTACACACCATGTTTGTCTCTCTGGGTCTGGGTTACCTCACTCAGGATGATTTTTTTCTAGAATCATCCATTTATCTTCAACCCTCACTGAATCTTTCCATAGAGGAAGGGATGTTCTCGTTAAGAAACACAGCACAGGGCAATTATGGTCATTATGAGCTCTGAGTTAGGTATTAAGGGAGCAGGAAGGATGTAGGGAAGCAGGGATGTTTACATTCACAAGAGGGCTTATATGTGCTGAATGTTGTAAATGGCAATTTATATATCTCATTCAATATTTACAGCAGCCATTTGGTAGGTAGAGAAACTGAAAGTCAGGGACTTTTTGTGTGTGTGTGTGTGTGTGTGTGTGTGTGTGTGTGTGTGTGTGTGTGTGTGCCCTGGATGAGATAGTTACTTAGTTACTTGCAGCATATCAAGGATTTGCACACACTGATGTCCTTTCTGCCCCATTAGCTTGGTGCTACCAGTACAATGCAATGGTAGACAGTCTATAAATTGTCTAACTGGGGATGGCACTTTACATAAGTCTGAAAATGGATATGCGTTTAATGCTTATTCTGAGCATTTCACAAACCAAAAAAAAGTATAATAAGTTATTTGATGAATTAATAAAAAGCCAAGCCAGCACATTTTGTTCTTTCCATAAACTTGAAATTCTTTTTTCTGCTCTTTCTTTGTGATAATTTTAATTCAAATGAGTGTTAAATCAGAATGCCTTCTTCGTGTGTGTTTTTTAACTTTATCATTGTGTGTCTTTCTAATTAAAGTATTTTGATTTCAAACATCACTGTTGGTGGGAATGTCTAGAAAACAAGGCTGAGGATTGGTGATTGTATGAGCAAAGGAAAAGGTCTGGGATGGGGTAAAAAGGAAAACTTCAGGACTCATATTTATTTGTTTAGGCTTTTCTCCTTCCTGTTTATCTGTACAGACCTCCAGACCTCTATGGTTAGCCAGTGGCAAGTTCCATTCTCTGACCTTCACACAGGCTTTGTTTGTACAAGCAAGATATCACCACATGAAAGTAAATTAATCACAAACATGTCACTGCGTCTGTGAATTTAGCAGTGTAACACTGAGTAAAAAGCCGTGCCCTGAAAGATGATATACAGCACTGTATTTTTCATAAGTCTGTTGCTCAAGCATCCTTAAATGTATAAGGTCAAGCTGAAATAAGCAAGAACGTGAGACGCATACAATTCAGTATCAGTTGCTTCTGGAGGCAGTACACATGTCACATGCCATGTGTCATGTCCAAGTTCTTGGATAAGAGGTGGCTTCTTTTGTTGTTGTTGTTTTGAGACAGGGTATCTCTGTGTAACAGCCCTGGCTGCCCTGGAACTCACTCTATAGACGAGACTGTCCTCGAACTCACAGAAATCCACTTGCTTCCGCTCCTGATACTGGGATTAGAGGTGTGTGCCACCATGCCTGGCTGATGCTCACTTTCTTACATAAATTGCATTAATAGCTCTTCTTCAACCCATTCTGCTGCAAAATATACCAAAGACGCTGAAAACCAGATGAAGCTAATTCAAACTTGACACAACTGAATAGTTTTGGAAACACCCCCAGATTGTTCACCAGCTCCCCAGGAATTTGCCTGCAGCAGCCTAAATATATTCTTCCTCAAAACACTACTCATGGTATTATTTTCTGCTCTGAACTTCATAGAAATAAATGGCTACAGATGTAAATCTTTTTTAAGCATTCAGGAAGTATGCACTCTTTGTAGAGTCCAAGCTAGCAAATGGAAGTAACCCTAATTTTATATATATATATTTTTATTTTTAAATTTAAATTTAAATTAGAAACAGGGTTGCTTCACATGTCAATTCCAGGTCTCTCTCCCTTTCCCTCCTCTCCTCCCGTGCCCTCCCACCAACCGCCCCAATATCCCCTCATTTCCCCAGGGAGGGTGAGGCTTCCATGGGGGTGTCCATAGTCTGTCATTTCATCCAGGGCAGGGCCTAGACCCTCCCCCAAGAGTTCAGGGTGGGAGCCCATAGCCCATTTGTATACCCGGGATAAATACTGATCTACTGCCCAAGGCTCAATAGATTACCTAGGCCTCCTCACTGACACCCATGTTCAAGGGGTCTTGATCAGTCCCATACTGGATTCCCAGCCATCAGTCTGGGATTGAAGAGCTAACCCTTGTCAGGTCAGCTGTTTCTGGGGGTTAAACCAGCCCAGTCTTAATCCCTTTGGTCATCAGTCCTCCCTCTCTGTCACTGGATAACTTGAGTTCAGCTCAGTGCTTAGCTGTGGGAGTCTGCCTCTGCTTCCATCAGCCACTGAATGAAAGTTCTGTTTCCCAGACTCTCTGGCCATGGGATTGTAGGCTGGCACTCCCCAGATCTATGTCTAAAATCCATATATGAGAGAGTACAGGCCATGTTTCTGTTTTTGTGACTGGGTTACCTCACTCAGGATGGTTTCTTCTAGTGCCATCAATTTGCCTGCAAATCTCAGGATTCCATTGTTTTTTTCTGCTGAATAGTACTCCATTGTGTAAATGTACCACATTGTCTCTATCCACTCTTTGGTTGGGGGGCATCTAGGTTGCTTCCAAATCCTGGCTATTACAAATAATGTTACTATGAACATAGTGGAACAGACATCCTTGTTGTATGAATGGGCATCTTTTGGATATATGCCTAAGAGTGGAGTTACTGGGTCTTGTGGTAGGTTTATTCCCATTTTTTCTGAGGAATCTCCATATTGATTTCCAAAGTGGCTGAACAAGTTGGCACTCCCACCATCAGTGGAGGAGTGTTCCCCTTTCTCCACATCCTCTCCAGCATAAATTGTCTTTGGTGTTTTTGATTTTAGCCATTCTGACAGGAG